AACACATCTGGGAGTGTATATGTCGTCCACACTCAAGAGTGTTAAGTTAATGAGATAATTAAGTGATTAAATGAGTGATGATTGAGCATTATTGAAAACACCTAAAGCAGAATCAGAAGAAAAAAAATCTAAAATTTTAAGCCACCATTATGGAGATGAGTGTTTGCTTTAGTTGGCCTCTTGACCCTTATAATTTATATTTTATATTGTAATTTGCTGTTGCATCTGAGTTATATCTGTCAGATGAACAAAAATAAACAATAATAAACTGATGTTGGTCATAAAATGACTTTCATCATTTGATATGTATGTCTATAATTTATTCTGTTGGTTAGTGTATAACTGAGATTCTGCATAAATGTCCAGAATGTTAAATATAATTGACAGATTTCTCAAAAGTTGTTTAAAAAAAAAAAAAAAAACTTTCTTTAGGCACACAGACCTCAAGATTCAGTCAATGCTTCTCAACAACGGTGACGAGTAGAATATTGAAGTAAGAAAAGTAAATTACATCGACAATTCAGATCATAATTTATTCAAACCGCAATGCATGATGGGAGACATTAATGAGTTGTGATTGGTGGCAACAAGGATTAATTTTGTCACCACAATTGAGATACACAGGCTGATTATTGATATCTGTGTTTCTAAATAAAGATGAGAGTGATTTGATCAGAATATATATTAAAATTTTTAAGTTATAAGAAAAATACAGATATGAAATTCAACCACAAAACTGTTCCTAATAAATTAAAGCAAATCACATGAATAGAAATCATTTTTCAGATCAAGCATGATTATGTCTAAGCATAATCAACACTATCAGATCACAGATGTCTTATTTGGCTGTTATAAATCAATAGCAGCAGACAAACAACATTTAAAGTGAAAGTAAAAGTGTCAGGAGCCCAACTAAAGCAGACACTGATCTCCATAACGGTTTTTACAATTTGTGATTTTGTCCTTCAGCGATTCTGCTTGTGATCATCAGGTGTCTTCAATTATGCTCAATCATCACTAAATTAATCACTTAATTATCTCATTAACTTTAACACTCTTGGGGGTTAATTTAACACTCATATCGTCCATCTGAAAGCATGTGAAGGTGATTTACTGCTAATCAAGGAACCGGCTTTACTGATTAGATGCGCATAACAATATCGTGCGATATATCGCCCAGCCCTATTTCCAGAATACACTGCAAAATGCTTTATAATTGTCACCATTCTTGGTGTCTTTTTAAAATTAAGTTTTAAGAAATTATCTGGATTACATTGTAAAAGTTAAGATAATTATGATTTTCAAGGACAGTGTTGTAACAATAACAATGATATAAATTTATCTCAGAAATTGGGCTCTACTCAGGTCAAATGATCATGAAATAATGACAATGTTAAACAGCAAACAATATCATATCACCTTTTCTCTTTGTTCATTTAGCTGTTATAACAGAAGTACAATAGCCAAACAAATTCAAAAATAAATGTATTTAGGCTCAAGAGCCCAACTAAAGCAAACACTGATCTCCATAATGGTAACCAATTATGATTTTCTCTTTTAGAGATTCTGATGTTGTGGTGACTTCAAATGAAACAAAGTTAAACCTCTGTTAGTTCTCAATAAAATCTTCTGTAGAAGTCTGACAGAAATACAGAAAGTCTGGTTAGTAATAAGTGAAGCTGGTAATGCTGTTTGTGGAGTTGTTTAATCCTCCTCTGCTGAGATCTTCACATATTTAATGTCTTCTTTTCTCTTTAGGTGATTTCATCTAAGACTGTGTCTAAAGTCAGTTGTAGTTGTTCTGCTTGTCTCTCTTTCCATTCTCTTCTTTCTTTCAGTGATTCTTCTTGTTAACAGGCTTATTAAGGTTGAGATGACTCCATGTTTAATATACACAGATTTTGTGGCTCATAAAGTCCAGTTCTGGTTTATTTCTTTGCTCTTGGCTGACATGTGGCATTGCTATGGCCTGCTTGTGGCCCAGATCTGGCAAACAGGAGTGGGCCACCCAAGGGCCGTCATTCATTGCTGCATGTGGGCCAGATCCGCATCCCTCAAGTGCCAGATGTGGGCCGGATCTGGGCCGAAACAATGTTGCTATGTGGGTACCAATGTACATGCCTACCTCTTGTCATTTGTTTTTCTTGGCACTCAACCTTACAAAAGGCAATGTCTTCGGAGAGATTCAGGTCATTTATTGTGCACATACATTCATTAAGCAATTTCTTTGAATAGTTTTATGGTAAAACTTCCATTTGTTGGTGAAACAATGGAGTTATTTGTCATTGTTCAAGACAGGCATGTTAAGGGAGGGCTTTAGTGAAGCACTGCAGAGCTTCTGTCCTAACGGTGGAAACACAGTGTGATTTCGTGCTTGGTGCTACAGGTCCAAGGCTATTAACACCGCCCGACCCTTGAAAGCCCTGGCTCACACTGGCCCGACAGTGGGGAAAGCAGCTAATGTGTGTTGGAGCGATATTTATTTTAATATTATCATTATAAGAGAATATTAATCTATTATTTTGTTCAGAGCATGCAGTTATGTAGGGCTGGGCGATATATCGAACGATATTGAACGCGCATCTAATCAGTAAAGCCGGTTCCTTGATTAGCAGTAAATCTCCTTCACCTGCTTTCAGATGGAGCGGCATTCACTACAAAGAGCCGTAGATCACTGACAAGCTGAGCCATATCGCGTTAATATCGAGGACATATCGATATCGATATTTAATGCGATATGGCTCAGCTGGTCAGTGAACTACGGCTCTTCGTCACGACGAAATCTCCCGTGTTAAACTAACACACCTGGGAGTGTATATGAGTCCGCACTCAAGAGTGTTAAAGTTAATGAGATAATTAAGTGATTAAATGAGTGATGATTGAGCATTATTGAAGACACCTAAAGCAGAAGCACAAGGAAAAAATAAAAAAATTTAAGCCACCGTTATGGAGATGAGTGTTTGCTTTAGTTGGGCTCTTCACCCTTATATTATTAACTTATGTTTAATTTGCTGTTGCATCTGAGTTATATCTATCAGATGAACAAAAATAAACAATAATAAAACGATTGTAGTCATATCTAGGGCTGGGCGATATATCGCACGATATTGTTATGCGCATCTAATCAGTAAAGCCGGTTCCTTGATTAGCAGTAAATCACATTCACCTGCTTTCAGATGGACTATATGAGTGTTAAAGTTAATGAGATAATTAAGTGATTAATTTAGTGATGATTGAGCATTATTGAAGACACCTGATGATCACAAGCAGAATCGCTGAAGGACAAAATCACAAATTGTAAGCCACCGTTATGGAGATCAGTGTCTGCTTTAGTTGGGCTCTTGACACTTATACTTTCACTTTAAATTTTGTGTGTCTGCTTTATTATTGATTAATAGCAGTCAAATAAGACATCGTTGATCTTATAGTGTTGGTTATGTTTTGACATAATCATGCTGTGATCTGTAAAATGAAACTTTTCAGATGATTTGGCTTAACTTGTTAGCAAGATTTTAGTGATTGTACAGCATATCTGTATTTTTTTCTTTAATATAAATTATTAATAAATATTATTCTGCTTATTATACTTTCATGCTTATTTAGAAACACAGAGATCAATAATCAGTCTGTCTATCTCAACTGTGGTGGCGAAATTAATCCTTGTTGCCACCAATCACAACTCATTAATGGCTCCCATCATGCATTGCGGTTTGAATATATTATGATCTGAATTGTCTATGTAATTTACTTTTCCTACTTGAATATTCTACTCGTCACCGTTGTTGAGAAGCATTGACTGAATCTTGAGGTCTGTGTGTGCCTAAAGGAAAGGTTTTTTTCTTTTAAGCAACTTTTGAGAAAACTGTCTATTATATTTAACATTCTGGACATTTATTCAGAATCTAAGTCATACACTAAGCAACAGAATAAATTATATGTTATAAATTTTATAAATAAACTTTATTATAAATGTTGCGTATATATATGTATATTATATTTATATAAATAATTACATAAATTTCAAATGACAAACGGCATTATATGACCAAAATCATTTTATTATTGTTTATTTTTGTTCATCTGATAGATATAACTCAGATGCAACAGCAAATTAAAGTATAAAGTTAATAATATAAGGGTCAAGAGCCCAACTAAAGCAAACACTCATCTCCATAACGGTGGCTTAAAATTTGAGATTTTTTCCTTGTGATTCTGCTTTAGGTGTTTTCAATAATGCTCAATCATCACTCATTTAATCACTTAATTATCTCATTAACTTTAACACTCTTGAGTGTGGACTCATATACACTCCCAGGTGTGTTAGTTTAACACGGGAGATTTTGTCGTGACGAAGAGCCGTAGTTCACTGACCAGCTGAGCCATATCGCATTAAATATCGATATCGATATGTCCTCGATATTAACGCGATTTGGCTCAGCTTGTCAGTGATCTACGGCTCTTTGTAGTGAATGCCGCTCCATCTGAAAGCAGGTGAAGGTGATTTACTGCTAATCAAGGAACCGGCTTTACTGATTAGATGCGCATAACAATATCGTGCGATATATCGCCCAACCCTAGTGATGTTCTGTATTTCGATCACGGCTTTAAAATGTTATGAGAGAACGTTTTACGAATGTTTATCCACCACACTACCTTTTATTAAACGTAAATAAGAAAGCCATTGTCAGTTGGCAGGCAGTTTTGGTCGCTTTATTAAAAGTTGTTGCTGTGTGCAGTGTGTAAAATAAAATAAAAATAGTTTTACCCTCCTGCTGACTACCTAGTGTCGTGCCCCTCCCAACACATTCACACACACACACACACACACACACACACACATAGATGATTCGACTATCAGTCGACTATAGAAAGATTCGAAAATTCTGATTCGAATGTGTAAATCCTTAGTCGGGGACACCCCTAATGGGGAATCAATATATAGAGATAAATGCATTTTTCAGATGACAAACATGTAAAACATGACAAAATATATAAAAGACTTACAGAGCTCTTCTGGAGGTTTTAATGACTGCCGATAATCTAATGAGACACTCGTCTGATTTCTTGAATTTCTGAAGCTCAAACTCCTCCAGCTCTTCCTCTGATGTCAACAACACAAAGACTAAAGCAGACCACTGGGCAGGTGAAAGGTCACCAGATGAGAGACTTCCTTTGCTAAGGTGGGTCTGAATCTCGTTCACCAGAGTTTGGTCGTTCAGTTCATTCAGACAGTAGAACAGATTGATGGATCTCTCTGCAGGAAGATTAGCTTCTAATTTCTGCTTGATGTACTGAACTATCTCCTTGTTGCAATGAACTATTTCCTTGTTCCTCCGGTCAGTGTCGTCTCGCTGTGTCAACAGACCTCGTAAGAGTTGAACTATCCCCTTGTTGCTCTGGTCAGTGCCGTCTGGCTGTGTCAACAGACCTCGTAAGAGTCGTCGATTGGACTGGAGTGACAGACCGAGGAGGAAGCGAAGGAAAAGGTCCAGGTGTCCATTGTCACTCTCCAGCGCCTTGTCCACTGCAGTCTTGAGAAAATCAATCATGGTTTCATTTCTGTTTTCCTGTTCTGTAGACTCATGATCAAACACACTTGTCTTGTTGATGTCTAGAAACAGATGTGCATAAAGAGCTGCAATAAACTCTTGAATGCTCAAGTGAACAAAGCAGTACATGGTACCAAGAACGATCCCTGTTTCCTCCTTAAAGATCTGGGTACACATGCCTGAGTACACTGATGCCTTATAGACGTCAAGACCACAGGCTTCCAGGTCTGTGTCATAAAAGATCAGGTTGTTTTCTTCCAGCTGATGAAATGCCAGTTTCCCCAGTGAAAGGATGGTGTCTTTATCCCAGGAAACATCTGGTGTGTATTCTCCATCATATTTCCGGCGGCTCTGCTGGATCTGAAAGCGGAGAAAGTGTGTGTACATTTGTGTCAGAGTCTTGGGAGTGTCTTCAGTGTTTGATTCCTGCAGTGTTTTAGAGATCTCATCAGCCTGAGTCCCACATAGCAAACAGATCCGGAACGGATCTGCCGCGGAGGTAAGAACCAGGTCCGGAACGGAGTCCACTTGCACAGCGCAACGGATCCGGAACAGATCCGGATTGCGGATCCAGACTAGATCCGCGGCAGACCCTATCCGGATCCGATCTGGACCCGTTCATTTTGGAATGAAAACCTATCAGATCACTCATTCAAAACTAGTAATCTGGCCAAAACTACAAAAATATTTCAAATCTATTGGTGGGCCAACATTAGATAGACTGCCCACTAAACAACATGATGTCCAAAAGATGTCTTTTCAACGTCTTTGTCACAAAAGTCGGATGCTGAAAGACGTCCACTGAGGAGCCAGAATTAAAGTTTTTATGACGTGTTTTTTTGACGTGTTCTGCACGTCCGATGTAGACGTTCATCGAACCTTCGTACAAGTTTAAAAACTAGGTCAAATGTGGCCATCGTGTTTAAAACTCATGTTTATATCAATGTCATTTCCTTACATTGTTTAGATGAGGTTTAGATGTTGATATGTTTCATTTTAAGAAACCATTGTGGTGATGAGTGTTTGCTTTAGTTGGGCTCTTGGTCCCAATTCTTCTTACTTTATATTTTCTTTGGTTGTTGTAACTGTGTGTTTGTATAACACTATTGTTGTTGCATAGAAAGCCAAGAAAAAGTAAAATCAGCTGTCATCAGCTCCTTGTTGATGATGACAAAAACAAAGCGAGCTTTTAATGATGTGTGTAGACTTTTGTCCTTATATCTGCTGTTTATAACCACCTATTTTGTGGAACTGCGTTATTTGGACCAGCACCATTACAATTGTTGCTTATTTGAAGGTCAATAAAAATCATGTGTACTCAATGTTTTGAGGAAATATGTCACATAGTCACACACAGACATCACGATTTTGCATATGATTCTCAACAACGGTGACAACCAAAACAAAAAAAGCTTGGGAATCAAGGATTTTTTGTACTTTGAAAACTACCCATCATGCATTGCAGCATGAAGCTTTTTTTATTGTCACCGTTCTTGTGATACATACGCAAAATCTTGATGTATGTGTGTGACTATAAGAAAAATTTCCTAATAACATTGTTTAACAAGCTTTTTTTTATTCACCTTCTAATAAGTGCTAATTTTAATGGTATACAAATAACACAGTTCCACAAGATAGGTGGTTATAAATGGCAGAAATAAAGACTAAAGTCTAAACACAACATGAAATGCTCACTTTGTGACTTAGCAATGATAATCAACAAGCTGATGCCAGCATCTCACTTTTTCTTGGCTTTCTGTGCAACAACAATAGTGTTATACACTCACACAGTTACTACAACAAAAGTAAAGTTAAAGTAAGATGAATTGGGACCAAGAGCCCAACTAAAGCAAACACTCATCACCACAATGGTTTCTTAAAATGAAACATATCAACATCTAAACCTCATCTAAACAATGTAAGGAAATGACATTGATATAAACATGAGTTTTAAACACGATGGCCACATTTGACCTAGTTTTTAAACTTGTACGAAGGTTCGATGAACGTCTACATCGGACGTGCAGAACACGTCAAAAAAACACGTCATAAAAACTTTAATTCTGGCTCCTCAGTGGACGTCTTTTCAGCATCCGACTTTTGTGACAAAGACGTTGAAAAGACATCTTTTGGACATCATGTTGTTTAGTGGGCAGTCTATCTAATGTTGACCCACCAATAGATTTGAAATATTTTTGTAGTTTTGGCCAGATTACTAGTTTTGAATGAGTGATCTGATAGGTTTTCATTCCAAAATGAACGGGTCCAGATCGGATCCGGATAGGGTCTGCCGCGGATCTAGTCTGGATCCGCAATCCGGATCTGTTCCGGATCCGTTGCGCTGTGCAAGTGGACTCCGTTCCGGACCTGGTTCTTACCTCCGCGGCAGATCCGTTCCGGAACTGTTTGCTATGTGGGTATAGGTCTGCATAATCACATAATGCCCAAGGGTTCCCCAACACTTAATAGAAGAGCAGTTTTTACTCGCATCGCTACAATGTGAAAGAAAAAGATAAGAAAAACACACTTTGCTGACTACACTTGGCTGTTGAATAGTGGCAGAATTCAAACAACACAGAATTTCGGGATTCAGCAATGGCCATACTCGGCTGGACTGACACTCCCTCTCACAATGGGAAACAGCAGGAGAACATTGTAATGTTACCTCAGTCTAATGTCTACTTGTCTAATGTCTAACTACAGACCTTTTTGACTTTATCCAAGAGTTCGGTGTCAGCTATTTCTTCTAGCCCTGGATTTGCTGAGCCACCAACAAGAAGAGAAAATACTGTTGGGGAGAGGAAGTTAGGTGGTGGACCTCCATGTACTAAGCTTACAGCAATGGCTCTTCCAGCTGTATAGTACCAATCCTCTCTTAGAGCTGCAAAACAATGAAATGAAAATAAATAATGGAATATTGATTAATGCATAAAGACTCATTAAATAAAAACATTTTCATTGGGCTATTAAATAACTTATAAATAATTTCCAATGCTAACTGGTGTATGCAAAAACTAACAAAAATATAAATGACTCACTACAAATTTTATAAAAGTTTGTCATTACCAGTACTGTCGAGAGCTAAGTTTTTGCTGCTTTCTTTTCCCTCAAACATGGGTGACCTGGCAATGGTCTCCATCAGCAGCCTAAGGAATTCACTCAAAAAAATGATGTGTTGGCTTTACTTAACTTTTTCATGTAAACAGGTTCCACCAGTTCCACATAACTTTGTTTTGTTAAACAAACATAATTTGTTCATGTAACTTCAACATCATGGAAGTCATTTTAAGCCATCCAATCAAACTCTGAGCTGAGTGTTAAAGTTAATGAGACAATTAAGTGAATAACTGAGTGATGATTGAGCATTATTGAAGACACCTGATGATAACAAGCACAATCGCTGAAGGAGAAAATCACAAATTGTAAGTCACCGTTATGGAGATCAGTGTTTGCTTTAGTTGGGCTCTTGACCCCTATATTATTAACTTAAGATTATGTTTGGCTGTACATGAGTTATAACAGCCAGGTGATCACATAGAAAAGGTGGAACTGTGGATTGTATCACCAAACTTCCGGTTTGAAGTCAAACTGCATGAACGACTGTTAAATTTACCTTCTGGATCATACCAGCACTGCTTTTGTAGAACATACAATTTTAGCCTTTTCAATGAAATTCAAATGATCAAATCAATAAACAAAAAAAATTTCTGGATGCCACCAATCAAAATTCATTCATGGGTCCCATCATGCATTGCTGCATGAATAAATAATGAGCTTAAGACACCTAAAGCAGAATCACAAGGAAAAAAAAATCTAAAATTGTAAGCCACCGTTATGGAGATCAGTGTTTGCTTTAGTTGGGCTCTTGACCCTTATATTATCAACTTTATATTTGAATTTACTGTTGCATCTGAGTAATACCTGCCAGATGAACAAAGATAAATAATTATAAAATGATGTTGGACATATAATGACATTCATCATTTGAAATTTATGTCTGTAATTTATTCCGTTGGTTAGTGTATAACTGAGATTCTGCATAAATATCCAGATTGTTCTCAGAAGAACTTTTTTTACAATTTTTTTTTCTTTAAGGCACACACAGACCTCAAGAATCAGTCAATGCTTCTCAACAACGGTGACTAGTAGAATATTCAATTAGGAAAAGTAAATTACATAGACAATTCAGATCATAATTTATTCAAACCGCAATGCATGATGGGAGACATTAATGATTTGTGATTGGTGGCAAGAAGGACTATTAATGTCACCACGATTGAGATAGACAGGCTGATTATTGATATCTGTTTCTACAAAAAGATTAAGTGATTTGATCAGAATAGTTTTATTAAATATTTTCTGTTATAAGAAAATACAGATATGTCGTATAATCACTAAACTGTTGCTAGCAAATTAATCGTAACCATCAGAATTATGAATTTTTGGAGTTTACAGATCACAGCATGATTATGTCAAACATAACCAACACTATCGGATCACAGTTTTCTTTGTTCATTTGCCTGTTATAAATTGATAACAGCAGCCAAACAAAGTTTAAAGTAAAAGTGTAAGGGTCAAGAGCCCAACTAAAGCAAACACTGATCTCCATAACGGTGACTTACAATTTGTGATTTTCTCCTTCAGTGATTCTGCTTGTTAACATCAGGTGTCTTCAATAATCAGTCCTTCCAGAAAAACGCGGAGTTTTTTTGTGATTGTTGCGGGCAAAAATCCTTGATTACGCGGCCCGTTTTCTTTAAAAATGCGATGGAATATGCGGGATATTTATGCAATTTTATGCGATGAAATTGCGGGAACTTGCAAAAATTGCGGGAACTTGCAAAAATTGCGGGAACTTGCAAAAACTGCGGTTTGATGAAAAAGAGAAAAAAAGTGATTCCCCCAACACCCTGTTCTCACTAGGCTACTACCTTAATGTAAAGAGTCATTTCTTATTACTTTCTATGATGTAGCAAGCATACTACATCATAGAAAGTGCTGGGAATATTTAATTTCTCATCTTGTTTTATTTTTATTACATTTTCAAAATCACAGAGTTTGATATCAAGTTCTTGACATTTATTTTACACATTTTCTGATAAGTATAACATCTGAGAAGTAGCCTAAAACATGAAACAATAATTTTGGAAAAAAAAAAAAAAAAAAGGAAAAAAAAAGATAGAGGGCATCACAGACATATTAAATTCCTTTAGCAGAGATACAGATCTTTTGGGCTTTTCGATTTTTTTTTTTAATTTTAAAGACTCAAAATACATTTTAAAGGCTGTTTTGAAATGAGCAAAGTTGGGTTACTCCACTTAGTTTGATGAATATGAAATTTTCCTAATAATAGAAAAAATCGATATTATTTCTTATAGGAAAGTCAAAATCATTTGTATGAAGATGACAAATTTAAGACAAGGTTGCAATTCATTTTAAAACCTAGAAATTGAGACATCTCATTCCAAAAGATTGAAAAATAGGGACATTCAAACAATAAGTGCACAATAGACTCTCTTTCACAATTACAAAATCAGCAATGTTTTATTTCAGACTGTAACGAGTGTAAATAAGGTGTGGCCCCTTTAAGAGCTGCACGCTGAACTGTCTGCAGTGTGTGCGCCTCAAACACCCCATGTCCATGTGTGCGGGTAATTTCTGTTTGATGCTTATTCTTTTATCTTATTTTGTTTATTAAGTAACGATGTGATGGTAGAACGTGTGACAGACAGTTATACGAGTTCGATTTGTGAGATGTCAATCGCCTCCGTGAGTCTTAACTCAGCTGTGAGCTATCCCGTCGCGTAATTGCGTCACTTCATAACGTTCCCATGGAAACAGGAGGAAATGGCTGCTCTTGTATGAAGCAAACGCAACATTTTTCAACTTTCTGCGAAGATATATGACTTTTTTTGCAACGAAAATGCGAGGATTATGAAATCATGCAAGCCCCGCATATTTTGCATGGAAATCGGCATTTTTTGCGGCGAAAGTGCGGCTTATTCGAAAAAATGCGGCCCCCGCATAAATATGCGGACTTTGGCTGATTTTGCATTGAATTCAGCGATCGCATAATCGCGTTTTTCTGGAGGGACTGAATAATGCTCAATCATCACTCAGTTATTCACTTAATTGTCTCATTAACTTTAACACTCAGCTCAGAGTTTGATTGGATGGCTTAAAATGACTTCCATGATGTTGAAGTTACATGAACAAATTATGTTTGTTTAACAAAACAAAGTTATGTGGAACCGGTGGAACCTGTTTACATGAAAAAGTTAAGTAAAGCCAACACATCATTTTTTTTGAGTGTTCCCTCCTTGGCCCTCCTAAATCAACACCTTCTTCATTTCTCCCCATGTCATCAGAGAATTTTACACACATCATCAAGTTGGGGTCATAAGATACCCTTTTGAAGCCCCGCATGGCACCCTCCCAGACAGCAGAGCGATTTATATTAAATTTGCATTGCTGTTTTGTGCTAACTTTGCTTGAAAGTTCCATGAGTATCTCTTGAACCGGGATCTTTTCTGCACTATAAAATAACATAAAAAATGTATTAACAGAAAAATACCCAGTTACCTATACTTTGTGGAGTTGATAAATCCAAAATGTGCATGTCATAATAATCACATGATAATCACATAATCCTCATATCCTTATCTTTGAAGTTCACATTCTGTGTGTCCTACTTACATCTGACTCTCCATACTCGCCATTATCGCTTGCTGTAATTCCTCGTCATCTGAGCTGTCATCTGGAAGAGTAGCCATGAGTGTCAAATATGAAGAGTAGTCTTCATCATGACTGCTTGTGGCAGGGTTGCCATCAGTTCTTGCAAGGCAGCCGCCGTCAAGGCCACTAATGCCAGGGTTACCGCCACTTCTAGCAGCACTGTCGGCAGTGTGGTTGGTGGCATTGGATCTGGCTTCATCTGCGTCACAGTTGGAGCCAGGGTTGCCATCTTCATCATAACTTCTTGTAGAGGCCCTTGTGGTGCCATGGCTGCTCATGCTTGTTAGGATTTGTTGACCAGACACTTCAAAACAATCCTCATCACTGTCCTTAATAGATGAATGCATGCTCGACATTGATCTGGGAGTGATGTGGGAAAGTTCGTCTTCATCTTCCGACTCCGAGTCAGTCTTCAAAAGAGAAAGAAAAACAAATATATATTATATTTGTAATGAAGGGCCCAAGCCGGTGGCAGACATTTAGGCTAACTGTGCACGCAGGGCATTATCTCAACTCAACTCAACTCAACTCAAACAACTTTATTAATCCCCTACAAGCAATACACTATACATAATTTACAAAAATAGACCAAAAATACCAGAAACACTTACTAGAAGGGTCCTTGATGGTCTCACATACAGGGTTTTGGTTTTATAAACCTTATGGATTAGCATCCCATTCAGATCCTGACCCTCTTGGAGTGTACGGGTCACCAGCTTATTGCCACATGCCATTAGGAATTGGAGGCTACAAAGAATGGAGATAGTACAACAACAAAAAAGGCTTATAGGATATGTAGATAAACACTGTGTTGTACGCTGGTGTCCCACATAGCAAACAGATCCGGAACGGATCTGCCGCGGAGGTAAGAACCAGGTCCGGAACGGAGTCCACTTGCACAGCGCAACGGATCCGGAACAGATCCGGATTGCGGATCCAGACTAGATCCGCGGCAGACCCTATCCGGATCCGATCTGGACCCGTTCATTTTGGAATGAAAACCTATCAGATCACTCATTCAAAACTAGTAATCTGGCCAAAACTACAAAAATATTTCAAATCTATTGGTGGGCCAACATTAGATAGACTGCCCACTAAACAACATGATGTCCAAAAGATGTCTTTTCAACGTCTTTGTCACAAAAGTCGGATGCTGAAAAGACGTCCACTGAGGAGCCAGAATTAAAGTTTTTATGACGTGTTTTTTTGACGTGTTCTGCACGTCCGATGTAGACGTTCATCGAACCTTCGTACAAGTTTAAAAACTAGGTCAAATGTGGCCATCGTGTTTAAAACTCATGTTTATATCAATGTCATTTCCTTACATTGTTTAGATGAGGTTTAGATGTTGATATGTTTCATTTTAAGAAACCATTGTGGTGATGAGTGTTTGCTTTAGTTGGGCTCTTGGTCCCAATTCTTCTTACTTTATATTTTCTTTGGTTGTTGTAACTGTGTGTTTGTATAACACTATTGTTGTTGCATAGAAAGCCAAGAAAAAGTAAAATCAGCTGTCATCAGCTCCTTGTTGATGATGACAAAAACAAAGCGAGCTTTTAATGATGTGTGTAGACTTTTGTCCTTATATCTGCTGTTTATAACCACCTATTTTGTGGAACTGCGTTATTTGGACCAGCACCATTACAATTGTTGCTTATTTGAAGGTCAATAAAAATCATGTGTACTCAATGTTTTGAGCAAATATGTCACATAGTCACACACAGACATCACGATTTTGCATATGATTCTCAACAACGGTGACAACCAAAACAAAAAAAGCTTGGGAATCAAGGATTTTTTGTACTTTGAAAACTACCCATCATGCATTGCAGCATGAAGCTTTTTTTATTGTCACCGTTCTTGTGATACATACGCAAAATCTTGATGTATGTGTGTGACTATAAGAAAAATTTCCTAATAACATTGTTTAACAAGCTTTTTTTTATTCACCTTCTAATAAGTGCTAATTTTAATGGTATACAAATAACACAGTTCCACAAGATAGGTGGTTATAAATGGCAGAAATAAAGACTAAAGTCTAAACACAACATGAAATGCTCACTTTGTGACTTAGCAATGATAATCAACAAGCTGATGCCAGCATCTCACTTTTTCTTGGCTTTCTGTGCAACAACAATAGTGTTATACACTCACACAGTTACTACAACAAAAGTAAAGTTAAAGTAAGATGAATTGGGACCAAGAGCCCAACTAAAGCAAACACTCATCACCACAATGGTTTCTTAAAATGAAACATATCAACATCTAAACCTCATCTAAACAATGTAAGGAAATGACATTGATATAAACATGAGTTTTAAACACGATGGCCACATTTGACCTAGTTTTTAAACTTGTACGAAGGTTCGATGAACGTCTACATCGGACGTGCAGAACACGTCAAAAAAACACGTCATAAAAACTTTAATTCTGGCTCCTCAGTGGACGTCTTTTCAGCATCCGACTTTTGTGACAAAGACGTTGAAAAGACATCTTTTGGACATCATGTTGTTTAGTGGGCAGTCTATCTAATGTTGACCCACCAATAGATTTGAAATATTTTTGTAGTTTTGGCCAGATTACTAGTTTTGAATGAGTGATCTGATAGGTTTTCATTCCAAAATGAACGGGTCCAGATCTGTTCCGGATCCGTTGCGCTGTGCAAGTGGACTCCGTTCCGGACCTGGTTCTTACCTCCGCGGCAGATCCGTTCCGGAACTGTTTGCTATGTGGGGTGTGTGTGGATGTTCGTCCCCTTGGTGTCTTGCTCCTGAGCTGAGGTGTGACTGAATCACGTACTTTAAAAAAACTAGGCTAAAATCATATGTTTTAAATAATCATGACTGCATTTGCAATACTGTGTTTTTAAAGTGCTTTATCAATACATATTGTAATACTAATGTACAAAGGAGAACAAAATGGGCCATTACCCGACATCCTCAGGGAGACGATCACCAAAGCCATTCCTGATGCGTTCCATAACAGTCTGGTGGTCCCAAGCCTTTTGTATTTCAAAGGCATTGAGGATATGCCCGTGCTTGTGTAACCATACTTTTGGATGTTGTTTGCACACTGCATCCCATGATGGATTGGGCAGTAGTATTATGTCCTTGTTGAAATGGTCATGTTGCTGATACCTAGCTCTGAAATAAGAAAGTAACAAGTAATTAGCCAGTGAAAGTTAAGTGACTGGCTAGTTGTCTGGCAGTCTGCCTTTGGCAAGTTTCAGAAAACATTAATTTTTCACAGTTTTTGTGTTCCTCCCTTTCTAGCTCATTTATTATCTGTTGATATGATTATGGGATGTGGCAGCCATGTTGACAGCTTCGCAAATGTAAACATACCAGCAAATCGGAAAAAAAAAAAAAAAAAAAAAAAAACATACCAGCAAATCGAATGAGGAAAAGCAGCTGAGTCGGGAATTTCTCGTAGCTATTATATTTATAAATAGTTAAATTTAGCCCTTATATTTATTTATTTATTTTTTTTAGTCTCTTGTTCATTTATGTTAAACTATTTTTGGAAAATCTTGGATTGTTGTCTTTTTGGATGTCATGTTATTGTTTGTATGTTTGTAATGTCTAATAAAAATAAAAAAAAAAAAAAAAAAATGTTACAGCATTTATTTAATCCTACCTTATTTGTAGAATATTATTTTTTTTACAAGTAACATTATATTTAATTAACGTTAACTTACTCGTTCATATCTTGGCAGGCAATAAAGGGGATATCTTTATTAGATTAGCTAACTGGGTGGGTAGCTAGGGGTTGGTTCCAGGCCGGCTGAAAGCAACGATTTTCGTATAACGTTACAGTTAACGTTATATAATGCTATTTAACATTATCTTAAATCTGTCAAACTAACGTTAATGACAAAAAAAGTGTGTTTGGATGATACATCGTGTTATCTATCTAACTTAGGTGCTGCGATTAGCTGTCTATCTAGTTTTAAAAATGACAAGCTGAGAAAAACTGGTTTCTAGCTAACTTACCTTGTTCTCCTTGTGCCTGACGTCCATGTTCTGAAACATTGCTGTGCTTGATAACGTGGTGGAGCACGTTCTCTTCTTACTGGACCTGCAGTTGGCAATAAGTGACCTGCAGTTGGCATTGGCACGCCGCTACGCTGGCGGGTAGGGAAGAGCGAGGCTAGGTGGCTGTCCATCGTGTCCACCACACTTGGAGTTGCAACGGTCGGTTGCTGCCCGAGTGTGGTGGCATTTGACAGGGTTCGTATGGACTCCGCTGAGGCTAATATGGTGCTCAGCAAGCCCGCTGCCTCGGTTAATGTTCTTTGCTGTTGAGCAGACATTGCTGTTACGTAGCGCGATTGCGAGCGAACGAAAGGTGCGCGGCTGCGCGCGTTTTTACTAGCAGCTATGCTTTCTACAGCTTCTAGTTCTTCGTCTTGAGGTGCACTACTGCCACCAACTGGACTGGGGACTTCAACCACCTTCCGTTTCATCTGAAATGTGCTTCCGTTTCAACTGAAATTCTCTCTCACACACACTACTGAAATGCTTGCATACAACATACCAGAAATGCTCTCACACACACTACTGAAATGCTTGCATACAACATACTGAAATGCTCTCACACACACACAACCGAAATGCGTTTCAGTTGTGTTTGTAAAAGCATTTCACTTGTATGTGTGAGAGCGTTTCAGTTGTGTGTGAGAGAGCATTTTAGCTGTGTGTGAGAGAGGATTTCAGTTGTGTGTGTGTGTGAGCGTTTCAGTTGTGCGTGTGAGAGGATTTCAGTTGTGTGTGTGTGAGCGTTTCAGTTGTGTGTGTGTGAGGGTTTCACTTGTGTGTGTGAGAGCGTTTCAGTTGTGTGTGTGAGAGCTTTTCAGTTGTATGTGTGTGAGCGTTTCAGTTGTGTGTGTGTGAGCGTTTCAGTTGTGTGTGTGTGAGGGTTTCAGTTGTGTGTGTGAGAGCTTTTCAGTTGTGTGTGTGTGAGCGTTTCAGTTGTGTGTGTGAGCGTATATTTTTTTACTTGTATGTATGAGAGCGTTTCAGTTGTGTGTGTAAAAGCATTTCACTTGTATGTGTGTGAGCATTTCATTATAGTATGTGAATGAATTTGGTTTCATATGTGTATGTGAGAGGAAAAGTACATGTATATGCATGGTATTTCTGAATAATGTCCCTAGGGGCACCTCATAGTGTTTTATTGCGAGTACACAAATATAAGTAAACACTTTGCAGACTGAATGATGTCCTGTATGAACAAAAGGACGGAGTATGTTTTATGTCTCCACTGTCTCTCTCTTACACACACACAATGTTCGATCGCGCCCGTGCCTCTCTCGTGCGCGCCTCTCTAGCGCGACACACACACACACACACACACACACTCCAGCATTGCAATCTTGACATCGCAGCCTTCTCATAATGCTGTTCACATCAAACACGAACAGAGCGAAATTTATCGCTATCTAGAGTTTTATTTATTTTTATAGCATGTATTCTCCACAAATTCTTTCCCAAAGAAATGTCAATTATAAGAATTATTATCAATAATGTTTTGCAATTCTAGCCTGCATGGCATGCAGATGAAGGGCAGCAGCTTTTGGATTACTTTTGAAACGTTTGATGAAACTGAAATTTATGTAATGTAAATTAACAATTTTTTGCAAAGATAAGTTCAATATGGCGGCTGCCGCTGCTTTGCGTGTTACTGCAGCATGTTCCCGTATAAAACCTGAGGTTTATGAAACCTCTAATGGGAAAGTGATAGTGGAAGATGAGTTTTTAAACTTCATTTCTATCAAAATCAAGACACTATCACAGGATGAAATTGTTTTGTTGGCTTCAAACAACTTCTCCTCGGACTGGATTGAGCATTCCAAGAAACTTTTGTTTGAACTGTGCCCGACAACGCAACGTAATATCAAGCACAAAGGCACTCAGAAGGACGTTAATAACGTCAAGGACTGTCTGAAATTGCTCAATGAGCGTGGTGAAGATATTCCCAGGTTTGTCTCACATTACCTGGATGAACTCCCACCTGTTGGGATCGGCAATATGGATACCTCGGCGTTACTCGGCAGGATGGAACGATTGAGTCGGGAGGTTTCTACGCTAAGGGGAATCCTGGAAACGCAGGCAAGTGTGAGTGAAAATCTTGGGGCGGCTACTGCGGCCCTAGATCGCCGGATGACGGAGATTGAAGAAATCCGCGGATCCTCTGGCCGGGCTAGTACTGCGTCGGGATCTCAGGAGAGAGAAACGCTGGTGTCGGTGGGTCTTGTTCATCAGGCATTGGAAGAGACTACGAGTACACAAACTTCTTCTCCTGCTTGGAATATTGTCGTGAAGGAAGGGAGGCGTAAGCCGCCTCAGAAGCCACCAAAAATGACCGTGCAACTGAAACCTGGCCGCAAGCAGACCCGTTCAAAGCGTGAAACTAAAATGGGTATAGTTGGTACCGGCACAGACGTGAGTAATATCCCAGTAATTAAAACTAAGCTGGTGAGTGTCTTTGCAACCAGATTCTCTCCGGATCTTGATGCGGACACTCTGCGTGACTATCTGATTGGAAAACTTGGTAATTCTGTGATGTGTCGCAAAATTGAGACTACCCGCAATAGATTTAGTTCGTTTCATGTTACTGCTGAATGTAATGAAGTTGGTGAAATTTATGAGCCGCAACTTTGGCCGGAGGGGATCTATGTACGTCGCTACTTTGAGGCTCGTAGACCCAAAGGTGACAGTGATAGCGCGGCCCATATATCAGTAGGAGAGGCTGGCCTACAGCAGCAGTGCCCTATGTTTGGCCGTATACCAGTAGCCCCACAGGGGAGCAGCAGTCAGGCTGCAGCCTAGGAATAATAAACAGAGATGAACTTTAATATCGTGTCATATAACGCACGAGGACTGCGCCTTGGTCACAGTGAAGCAGACAAATCGCGCCGCCTAGTAGTGGACAAGCTCTTAGAGGCTTGTGATGTACTATGTGTGCAAGAAACTTTTTTAGCAAAACAGGATTTAGAAGGTCTAAACTCCCTGCATAATGACTTTTATGGGGTGGGTGAATCTACTACTGACCTGAGTACCAGGATTGTTTATGGTAGAATACCTGGTGGGGTTGCCATGTTGTGGCGTAAAAAATATGATCAGCTGGTTAAGGTGCTTAGACTGGGTGTGGATTGGGCCATAGGAATTGAGTTTGATTGTGGGGATAAAAACTTCATTATCTTAAACATTTACACACCATATGAATGTTCTCAAAATGAAGAGGAATATCTCAATAGGCTAGCGTGTGTTATGTCTTTCATACAAGATAATGCCTCTACGTGCTGCTTTATTGTGGGTGATATGAATGCAGATGTCTCTGATGACAGTGCTATATTTGCCAAGCATCTAATGCAGTTCTGTCATGATAATGGTCTAATTCTTTCTAGCAAAGTGCTCTTGCCTGACATCAGTTACACCCACATCAGTGAGGCATGGCACACGACTTCATGGCTAGATCACTGCATTTGCACGGCTGATGCGCATGATTCTATAGAGGCTATAAAAATTAACTATGAATTTGCCACTACTGATCATGTGCCTTTCTCTCTATCTGTAAGTCTAGGCAGTCTACCTGCTTTTGTGCCTGCAGATAACATGTACGTGGGGAACATAGATTGGTCTAACCTGAATGAGGAGGACCTTAAAAAATATTATATCCAGTCTGATGTCCTGCTGAATAATATTGAATTACCTAAAGTATCTATGGCATGCTCTGATATTAATTGTAAGAACCCTCAACACGGTATTGAGCTATGTACCCTATATGAGAATAGTAAAGTCCCTTCTTGTCTCGAGCAAGCCCCTGGTTAAGACACACAGATTGTACAAGGTCAAGCCAGGGTGGAATGACTATGTAGAAGAGACACATGCTGAGGCAAGAAGAGCCTTTAAGGCATGGGATGAGTCAGGTAGACATAAATGGGGTCCGTTATTTGATTACAAGAAACGGGCAAATGCAAAGTTTAAATATGCTCTACGGTACATTAAGAGGAAGGAAAATATAATGAGGTCGGATTCTTTGGCAAGGAAGTTGCAATATAATAGTCCTATTGATTTCTGGAAGGAAATTAAGAGAATGAATAATTGCAAAACATCATTACCAACGAACATTAATGGTGTCAATGGCCCTGATGAAATTATTCAGCTATGGCGGAAACATTACTATGAGCTGTTTAACTGTGTTAAAAGCAATGAAGATGTAACTGTCTTACCTCAAGAAATCTTTGATGCAATTGTGATGCTAAAGGATAATAAGGCATGCGGTAAGGATGAGATATCTGCGGAGCATTTGAAATTTGCAAGTAGGAAACTCTGTCCCCTAATTGCTATTTGTTTTACTGGGCTGCTAGTCCATGGTATTTTACCTGATTCTGTTTTATCGGTTATATTAGTGCCTATCATTAAAGATAAAGTGGGTAAGATTAATAGCATAGACAATTACAGGCCCATAGCCCTAGCCAGTATTTTATCCAAAGTCCTGGAGAGAATAATATTGAATAGGTTGGAACATTTTGTTTTGACATCTGACAATCAGTTTGGCTTCAAACCCAAGCATGGCACTGACATGTGTATTTTTGCCCTGAAGGAGATTTTAGATTTGTATAATAGGCATAATTCAACTATTTTTCTGTGTTTTATTGATGCCTCCAAAGCCTTTGATAGGGTTAACCATGAGAAGCTATTCTACAAATTGTACAACAGAGGGGCCCCTAAATATCTAGTGAGAATCTTGGCCTTCTGGTATGCCCATCAGTCTTTTTTTGTGAAGTGGGGTAATGCTGTGTCTGCCTCATTTAATATAGGTAATGGAGTTAGGCAGGGAAGCATTCTATCTCCCTTTCTCTTTAATATCTATATGGATGATCTATCAAATCTGTTAAACAGCTGTGGGACAGGCTGTAGGGTTGGGGACACTGTTATTAACCACCTAATGTATGCGGATGACTTGGTCATTTTTTGTCCGTATAGTGCTGGTCTCCAACAACTACTAAGGGTCTGTTCCCAATATGGTTTGGACTTTGACATTACTTACAACTCTAAGAAGAGTAATATAATGATTGTTAGAAGCAGGGAGGATAGTAAACTCTCATTTCCTGCATTTTATCTGTCTGGTACTTTACTGAAAGTGTGTGATGAGGTCAAATACTTGGGACATTATATCACTGATGACCTGTCTGATGATAGGGACATTCATAGACAGTACTGTATGATATATGCACAAGCTAATATGTTGAATCGCAAATTTAATATGTGCTCACTTTCTGTAAAAGATTAGACTTTTTAAAGCTTTTTGTACTCCGATGTACACTGCTCACTTGTGGCGGCGTTATAAAAAAAGTAGTCTGCAGAAACTCAAGGTGGCATATAATGATGGGTTGCGGTTGCTGCTTAAATTGCCACGAGGGGGCAGTGCGAGTCAAATGTGTGTAAGTGTTAACGTATC